AACAACCAACAACACCAACAACAACCAACAAGTTCAACTATCCAACGTGCGAGGTTTGGGGTTCCTACCAGGTATTAGGCTGTGGCAATTTGGGTTTTACAGGCAAGTGCAATAGCTTATAGCTGAAGGTGACTTCGAGACAATCAAAACTGTTCTAGGTGCTTTACACAACCTTAGAAGGTAAGGAAAGTTGGGTGTTTTATGTGCAAGACTTGGAACTAAGCCCAAGGGGTGATCTGTAGATTGAGAGTTTTATTCCAACAATGTATTTCCGACAACCAATGTATCAGCTAGAGTTTGGTAGTTTGACTACTGCACAAAGCCAAGCGCCTTCAAATGTTTATGTGATTTTTATCGAAGCAGGTCCTGTCCTGTCCTGTCCGTCCTGTCTGGTCTGGTCTGGTCTGGTCTGGTCTGGTCCTGTCTTATATCACTCCACAAATATCCAACACTTTATATATTGCAACAGAAACAACAAAAGGAAACTTTATAAGCTTTCTGAGGGTGTTCCGATTAGATGCTAGACATCCCCTGTGTGCTCAAGCTCATGCTCGTGCTCACTGAAGAGGAAGGGTAGGATCTACTGGGGTATTTATACAAACTGGCGTTCTAAATAAGGAAATAATTCCGAAACCGGCCTTTAGTACAAACAGATAAACGGAACACAGATATATCGGGGTGATGAGCTAGTCTCCCTAGTCAGACCAAATATCAAGATTTTTTTTTTGAAAATTTGGAGAGGGAAAAAAATAACCTGATATATGGTCTGATTCCACTTGCTTGGCCGAAATCGTAGGTCAGGCTTCCCGATTAGGACATTCTCAATCGGGAAGTCCGCGCTGAGCTCAGCGAGGGGCCGGGGGAATCGTTGTGGACCAGAAGTGGCAGAGCATGCACTACAATAAGGATTCCTCTCGAAAAACGTCTCAGACTGAAAATTTTGGGATGTGGTGCACATTTTGGTGAACAGCGATGTGGCTGTGCAAAAGGTTCGCACGCATTGCATTTACATTTGCAAAGGGAGCACAGCGAAATAAAATGAGATTAAAATACAGGTAGATACCTAAAGAGACTTTCTAGTCGTCGGACCACATCTCAGAATTGAAATATGCATGGTGGTCACAGAGCAACACTTACAGCAGAAGGCCGACCTACGGCTAACACGTGTCAAGTAAAACTAGACTAGTGATGAGCAGTATTAGCTCAAGAAATAACCCTGGTGGTAATTAGTTCTGATTAAATGGTATATTTTGGTAGATAATCTGAGAGATTGGAAGGGGAATTGCACCATAGCACGTATGTGCCCTGGGCAATCAATCCATGTGCCAGCTCCACCGAGCCCTGGTCCATCAACCCTCAGGTCACCCAATTAGTCAACCCTTCAGCCCTGGTCAAAGCGAGTCCTGGCATCACGGGCCAAGGGCTCAGTACTATCTCCGACATCAGATCTCTGTTCCATGCTCAGATCGGTGATCTCCGTGATCTGCATCATCGGATCTTCGGAATTGTTCGGATTATTGGGCCGCGCACGGTTCTATTATCTAGAACTGTCCCGCAACCTTATTCGGTCCCTCGTACATGCCCCTGGTAAGTCCCATAGTCTGAATGGAGTGCATTGGTATGTCCTTGATAGGATACATGCGGGCCGTTCCCAATCCCTTGGTTAAGGATGGTAAGAACACCTTTAGTTAATAGACTAGTACTTGACTTGACAAATCTGACCCATTGTGGTGGCCGTCATCCCCAAGTAAGTAATAGAGCTACTTGCACATGTGTTCATCCTTAGCTAGCAACTCAGACCCCATCCTAGCTCATAGTGAGTGATATAGCCTTTATTCTATACAAAGCTCCTGCTTAGAACAGCAAAATCGAAAGATTTCACCGCTGGTCACAGGGCCGGCTTATCACCGTATTGGGTGACTTCCCATAAGCTTAGAAAAAGGCATTCGATTATCTGAGCTTATTTGAGGGGTGCCGAACGATGTCGGCATGTCCGTTTATTTGGAAAATATAATCTCTTCTGGTTCCCGTAAGGAATACATTTGAATAAGGTGTTAGCGGTATAATTTTCCACCTCGCTTTGTGCTTTATCTGCCCCTCACCTTCTCAACCCCGGGCCGTACAACAGCGCAAGCCTCGGTATTTGATTGACCATTGCCGCTGTCAACATTATTGATGAACAAATCACATCAACGTGTCTGCAACGCGTCTGAGCTTCCAGCAACGTGTCCTCATCTTCTTCGCAATGGATACCACCGTGCCTATTCATTGTCAAAGCCTGGAGGACATGGAATAAGAGGAGATAGAGGATGAAAGGATGCGGGCGGAGACCAGAATTGCCGCTAGTGGCGGTTATCAAAGGTTGTCGCGGACTGTGACTTATGTGACATGCAACTGAATCAGGCGAAATGGCTGGCGGAACTTCCGCGGAAGGAGTCCGAATCCGTTTATTCAAGTAAGAATAAATCTGGAGAGGGGTAGCCCCCCCTCTCCAGATTCAAATAATAATAAAGTCTGAAGAGCCCCAAGGTTGCATTAAATTGAGATCTCAGTCCGATGGGGTCTTGACAGCTGCCTCGGCATCCCAGCGAAAGAAGTCCAGATAATCGAACACTTTTTTCTAAGCTGATGGGAAGTCACCCATTGTATTCATATTATTATGAACATATTAATATCATATTATTTGATATCATATTGTTTGATATCATATTAATGGACAGCACTAATCAATTCACATCTGGAAAAGGAGAAACAAATCTTTTTCTTCCATGTACAAGGTGGGCTCGATTCGAACGAGCGACTCCTGCAGAACAAATGACGTGCTCAAATTAAATGCGGGGCAGACCATCCGCTACCGGGCCTTTTTGGTATTACCTACGCATGGAATTATATGGGCATTAGGGGTGCTCAATTCTTGTGCCCATCTCCCCATCTCGAATTTCCCCATCTTTTATTTGTTCGAAATAAATAAAGACTTCAAACTCCTCTTCGGCACGGCATCTGCGCACGCTTCCGCATCTAGAAAACCGACGTCATGTTTCCATGGTAGCCGGCTCGATGATGATGGATTTCAGAGGTTCCTGTACTTATTGACTATGACAGCAGTTCAGTAGTGGGTATATAAAGGTGTCCGAGTGGTTTGACTGAGTAAGTAATGAAAAGAGAAATAATGTAAATTCGATCTGGTAAAAAGAGAGAAGGGCGATTCGGAGAGTTGGGAGCACGAAAACGATTGGGGTGGTCAAGGCAATTGCGGTAGCCGGCTCACGAGCCACTGTTCCGGTGGTTATCTGGCTGATCTGGTTGTTATCTAGACCGATAATCGCGCGCTATTAAAAATAGAGGCTTCAAGTGGCGTGATCCGGCTGCGTGGCGTGCCGAAGCGGAGTTAACATCTCTATTTATTTCAAACAAATAAAAGATGGGGAAATTCGAGATGGGGAGATGGGCACAAGAATTGAGCACCCCTATTGTTGTGAGGAAAGGAGGGGGAAAACCCACGAGACCACAGCAAGTCCCAGGCTCAATTCAAACGAGCAACTCTTGCAGAAGTCCAAACACTCGGGACATGCAATGCAGGCGCAAATCCTTCGCTACCAGGCCTTCCTTGTCTTACCTGTGCCCGAAAAAGCTGAGCATTATTTCGCAGGAAAGCGGGGGGGAAAATCAAGCAGACTTGCCCAAGGTCCGGGCTCAATTCGAACAAGTAACACCTGCGAAATGAAATTGTGCCAGTTATGGAATGCAGGCGTGGACCATCCGCCACCGGGTCTATCCTGTATCCCCTGCGACGAAAGTACATGGGCATTATTCACCTGTAGAGGGAGAAACAACCTTCCGAACGCCACAAGGCCCGGGCTCGATTCGAACGAGTGACTCCTGCGAACCCCGAAATTTGTGAATTATCGGATGCAAGCGCGGACCATCCGCTACCGGGCCTTTCCGGTATTGCCTGCGCAGGAGATTAGATGGGAATCCTCGAGGTGGGAAAAGGAGAAAGAAATCTTGTCTTCTACGTCCAAGGCCCGGGCTCGATTGGAACAAGCGACAATCAACTCCTGCAGAACACTAATGGCTCTGGGACATCCACAACCGGGCCTTTCTTGTATGACCTGCACACGAAATATATGAGCATTTTCTCAAGGAAACAGGGGCGAAAAAGTCAATGGGAAGACAGAAATAGGCCCGGGCTCGATTCGAACGAACGACTCCCGCGGAACTGTGGTGTCGAGATGATGGGATGCAGGCTCGGACCATCCGCTACCGGGCCTTTATGCTATAGACTGCACACAAAATAGATGGACATCCAGGAGAGGGAAAAGGAGAAAGAGATTCTAAGCACCACCACCAAGGCCCGGGCTCGATTCGAACGAGCACCTCCTGCATGCAGAGTCCAATCGGAGAAATTCAATGCGGGGGTGGACGATCCGCTACGGGCCTTTCTCGTGTTACCGGCGCACGAAATTAGATGGCCATCCTCGAGAGGAAAAAACGACAAAGAAAGTGACGACTTTTACAACCACAATGGCCCAGGCTCGAATCGAACGAGCACCTTCCGCATGCAGAGTGCTGGTATTCCAAGCAATTGAATTTAATGTGGCGCGGACGATCCGCCACCGGGCTAGTCCTGTTGTTACCGCGGGGGGTATTCGCTTATTACCAATCTTGTCACGTCACGGATTCGCGGCGCGAGATTAGACTCACATAAGACGCGACTTTTCATCAGATAACGGTGCAGACCGACACTATATACCTGTGCCTCAAGTTCTGCCTCTTCAGAATATTTTCCGAGGGCTATAAACGGATGTAATGAGCACCTTATGTGACTAAGATTTGTCAGCAGGCCAATATCCCTCTGGTGCACAGAAGCACATCAAACAACCAACAGGTGTCAATATTGGCATTCCCATCAGTCGTCTTTTCATCTTTGCTCCCTCGTCCTCGCCATTTTCAAGGCCACCACCCCAAATGCAGATAAAATTTTGACTTAAGGGCACCCAAGGCCCGGGCTCAGTTCGAACGAGCGAGTCCTGCAGAACTGGAACTGTTCGAATTATAGCATGCAGGCGCGGACCATCCGCGACCGGGCCTTCCCTATAACCTGGCATTAAATCACGTGCGCCACATTTTGGGGGAAAGAAACGAATACGAGAAAAAGCACAATGCGGAAAAAAAAATCAACTCAATACCACCCCAAAGCCCGAGCTCGATTCGAACGAGCAACACCTGCGACGAGCGGCAAAAAGAAGGAAGAAACAGATCTTGAGGCCCAGTGCAAGGCCCGGGCTCGATTCGAATGAGCGACTCCTGCAGAACCAATGACATGCTCAAATCATGGAATGCAAGCGCGGACCCTCCGCTACCGGGCCTTTCTGGTATCACCTGTGAACATATGTAAGTGAGCGTGGTTCCATGAAACAGGAAGAAAAAATTAACCCTAGACCCGAACATGACCCGGGCTCGATTCGAACGAGCCGCTCCTGCAGAACATTGAGGTTGTCCAAGTTATGGTATGCAGGAGCGGACCATCCGCTACCGGGCCTTTCTGGTATCACCTGCGAAGATGATTAAATATACATTGTTTTGGGGGGGGGGGATTCGGACAAAAAATTGACTCAAGAGCCCCCAAGGCCCTCGCTCGATTCGAACGAGCGACTCCTGCGAACACCGCTCCACACATGGAATGCAGGGACGGACCATCCACCGGGCCTTTCTGATATTAGCTGCGAAGATGTTCAAGTGGGCGTGATTCCGATGAAACAGGGAGAAAAATCACACGGATGGACTCGGATATGACCCAGGCTCGATTCGAACGAGCGACTCCTGCAGAACGGCAATGCAGGCGCAGACCATCCATTCCCGGGTCATCCCTGTAGCCAAACCATCCAATGCAGGGACGGACCATCCGCTACCAGGCCTTTCTGGTATCACCTGTGCATGGAATAGATGGGTATTGTTTCACAGGAAACAAGGGCAAAAAAGTCAATGGGAAGACAGAAATAGGGCCCGGGCTCTATTCGAACGAGCGACTCCTGCAGAGCAATGACCTTATATAACTTGGAAAATTGGATGGACGGACGGACCATCCGCTACCGGGCCTTCTAATAGCTACCTGCGCATGGAAGTGGATTGGCATCTTCGAGAGGGAAAAAGGACAAAGAAATTGGCTTCACGCTATAATCGAGGCCCGGGCTCGATTCGAACGAGCGACTCCTGCAGACATTTGAGCTTCCCCATATGGAACGCAGGCGCAGACCATCCGCTACCGGGCCTTATTCATGTTGCGTCTGCACGTCCTTGAATGTGGATCGAACGACAGGGCAGACAGAAAGAAAAGCGTGGGCCGTATATCTGCGGCGTAGCATCGAGGAGGTTTAGTGGACAGCAAGGTATTTTCAATGGTGGAAAGAGCGCAGAGATGTAGAAATCGCGGTGTGGAGGAGTGAGCTTGCATTTCCTGTGCGCACTTAACGTTGTACGACTCGGAGCCTCGAGGGGAGATATGAATCCAAGGACCATTGACAAGTTGGAGCCGAAGAGAGTGACGCCATCAGACAAAGAGGTTGTTCACTAGACCTAGAATAATTCCCCAAGATTTTCACAGTCGATAAGGCCAGTCTGAGTTCAAGGTCAAGGTCACGGTGGTTTGCGGTCGAGGTTGTTATCCACACCGTGTGCCGTACGCATCCAACACGACTCTTTTCAGATTCAGTCCGCCACAGCCGGCTCCCCAACTCGTCGTCGTCCGCCCACCGCTTCACTAGTCCGCCGCTCGCAACATGACCACCGCCGAATGGGACCACCCCGTGCAATCCGTGCGTCCCCCCCGTCCGCATCCGGGCACGCTTATCGAGCGACGCCACTTTGTGTGTTTGCGGACCTCCGCGCGCCGCCCCGCCCCGCGCGCTATCCCCGTGTGCGACGACTACAAGGACGACGACGCCGACGCAGATGCCGCCGAGCACCGCACACACGTCATGGACGGGCAGGCGCTGCCGCTCCCGAATGCCATCCTGGACCGCATCAGAAGAAGACGGTTCTGCTCCACGGGCACTTCGACGTCCAGCCCGCGGCGCTGGGCGACGACGGGTGGGACTTGCGGGCGCGGCGATTGTGTTGAGTGCTGAGAAGTGTCAGGTGTGTTCTCTCGATTCCTACTCCTTCGTTCTTGTCCTTCGTCCTTCGCGCCTGCGTTTCCTGCTGTTTCCTGCCCGTGCCACCTTATCCACGCCATCGTACCCCTCCTTCCTTCCGCAGCGCGTGCGTGCGCGTCCTGCTCGCCGGTGTAGGGGACGGCGCGCCCGCCGCCGTCGTATCCCCGCGCTTCTTCCCCTCAATCGTCCTTCCTTCTCCCCATACCCCCTTCCTTCATTCCCTCCGCCAACTCGCTGACACTCCCTCCCAGATCCAAGTTCTGCGCCTCCCCACGCTCTCCCTGCATGGCATCGAGCGCGTGTTCGCAGCTCGGTTGCACGAAGACGGTGATTCCGGAGAAGGGTGAGGGAAACCTGTGCGTCTTCCCGTCTATCGACTTTATTCCTTGTTATGTTCTTCCCCGCGTTCCCTTCCATCGATCGATATCCATCCCCTTCCCATGCACGTCCTTTCTGCGTCGTTCCGCGCCTTCCTCCGCTGTCATGCTCGTCTGCATCCCCCCCGTCCACGCTGTTCTCTCCATTCGCGTCGTGCCGCTTCGTCTGTCTGTGTTTTCCGAGCCCCCTTGCTCGTTCCACCCACCCCCGTCCCCGCGCCCGCGCCCGATCTTCCTCATCTTCCAATCCTCCTCGTCCGCATCCGCGTGCCTCGTGCCACGCCCGATGTGTGCGTCGCAAATCAACACCGTCCTTCCCTCCCTCCACACGCCCTTCCTTCCTCGCGCCTCCGAGTCCTCGCCCGCATCCCTTCCGCCGCTTCATCACCTCGCCCCTCTCGTCCCTTCCTCCCTTCTCCGGACCCGTCCTCTTGTGCCTCTCCTCGCCGGCTCCTTCCACGTCCCCCCGCTTCCCTCCCCCCTCTCCTGCCTTCGACCCACCCACCCCGCCCCGCATGCTACGCTATATACCCCTTGCACTCTTCCCCGCACCTCTCATCGCGGACTCTTCCACGTTCCGCTCCTCATTACACCCTTTTTCTTTCCATTCCTTGTTCCGTTTCGCCCCCTCCTCACTTCATCGCAACTCACCCTTCCTCCGTTCACAGACTCGTGTCGCCCCGCATCCAGCGGCTCGTTCGGACGTGCGTCCCGTTTCCCCTTCCTCATTCGTTTGTCGTTTGCGCGAGTTTCTGTACTCTTTTCTCTCGATGTGGGTGTGATGCGTGGAGTGTGGCGCTGTGCGAGCTGCGAGGCGCGTTGTGGCTTGCGGAAGCGTTGTGGCTCGCGGAATGGACGTGGCGAAGGCTTCCGGCGCAAGGGATGATATGGTGCGGCGCGAGTCCCCGGTGGAGCTCGGCGGGAAGTGCGGGGGTGCTGCGGCGTGCGCGGTGCCGCGAGGTGTACGCGGAGAATTGGCGTCGGCGTGCATCGTCGCCGGCTGCTGGTGCGCGAAGCGCGGGGGAATGTGGTTCTCGTCGGGGCGCGGGGGCGTGTACGAGTGCGTGGAGGTCCCGCAGCTCGTGGATGGCGCCTGGCGACGCAGGCGCGGGGGGTTATGCGTAAGCAGGGCGTGACGCGTAAGCGCGGAGGCCGGGGCGGGTGCGCGGTTGCAGATGGGGTGCACTTGGCGTCGGCACGCATGTACGAGTGGGGGCGTGTACGAGCGGGGACGGTTGCTGCGGACGCGGACGTACATAGGCGGGGGCTGCGTGCCCTTGGTAGTACGAGTGTACAAGGGCTGCATTAGCACAGGCAATATTAATATAACTTTGCTTATTCAGAAAGCCCCAAAGGGCCCCAAAGGAGAATATAGATTAAAAGTAAGCTGGAGTTCAATCGGCAACGACTCCGGAAGTTTTTTGGACTAGTGGGCGGGGGCTGCCGCGGAAGTCGGGAAATCAGGTTCAGGAAGAGGGCAGCGTGATTGATGAAGCTCAACCACAATGCACAGTAGGGACAGCTCCGTCTCCCCGAATTCAAGGGAATACAGCAATACGATCAATATTCTGAAAACAACTATACGATGACAGGACCTATGAATTTATGAGTGAGAAGGAGGTTGAAAGGGAGGGTAATCGTTGACTCGCGATATAGTTGGTACAAGGTCCTGGTGTGAAATGCTAATTGATGCCCTTGATTTCGTGGAATTTCCGGAGGAGATCGTATTGGGCCGTGGTCCATGAATAACCGAAGGCGAAGACTTCGAATGTAAGTTCAGGAAGGGAGAGCTGGGTAGCGGGATCCTCTCCCAACTGTTCTTCTCCCAAGGGATCGAAAGACCAGTAATATCGTTGATCTGGGGGTAGAATATCTATCCAAACTGTGCCATCGTCGTCGAAACGAGCTATCGGTGAGGATACAAACAGATATGGCATATTCGATGGAGGATCCGTGTGCTGCGCAGGGTAGTGGAGTCGCATCGATAGGTCAACGGCATCGATAAGCAGGTCGTCCAGCTTCACGCCGGTGGCTATCGGTTGTCAATTCGAGAAATACAAGCAGAGAATCAACACACCGATCCCAGAGTCCAGGAGGCGAGGAGCTTGAGAGATCCAGAATTTCCTCATGTACCAGGTATCAAGGTACACATTGCTGACAAAATTCAGATCATCCTCGGATCCCGCCGGTACTACTATCCTGGTGCTGTGTGTCAGCGCAGTGCAGCGACCAAATCAGAATATACCGTGTCTATTGCGTGTCCAGAGCAGTAACATCAGTTCCAATGGGGGTGCCGTAAGCTCTCCAAGGCCCAACGCGGGGTTCGACCTTTGAACGTTCTGAATCCGTGAGATGGACTTGGAAATCCAAGAGGTCTCCGCCGACAGTCGCCAGTTTTCCAAGGGGAATATGATCGTGGATGGAGAGCTCGATGCGCCGGTATGAGGGAAGGGCCATCAACATGGCATGTATATCGCACACGTCCATGCGTGAAAATAGCTGCTGTTCGATGTCTCTGGTGTTGGGCGTTACTGACATCTCCCACGGAATCAAATCCGCCGGTATGACCCGTAATGGAAGACCGTCCGATTGAAGTCTCAGATCATGGAAGCACAGACGACCCGTCGACATTCGTATTGAGGGGGTCAGATGAGTGTAGGACACACCACGCTTCCAAGGCGGTCAACGTTGCAGCGTCGAGGTTGACTGATAGCTTACAGCCACATCCCGGGACTTCTTGATTCGGTTGAGTAACACTCAGAGATTGGAGCGTGGCACATACCATCTGATATTCAATATATTCTGTGATTAGGGGTGATCCACGATACAATTGCCGGAATTGGGCGATACTCATTAACTCTGTGGTCGTTGATGTAAATTGCGCTTGGTTACAAAGAGGGGAACACATGCTACCATCATGATAGATGAGTGCGTTTACGCCGCGCGACTCGGTGATACCGAATAGCTGAAGCACAAAGGGCAGCCTTATCGGGGTTTTCTTTTAAACACCGCTGAATTTATAAATGGGTGGACGTACCGCACTGATTGGCGCCTTTCAGCTTCAGCTTTCCACTGGAGAGAGCAAAATTACTCCAAATTAATCGTAGTACAGGGGTTGTTTACCTTCTCGAACTGGGATCCTTCATAGATAACCGCCGTCAGGGGTCCTGGCTGCCGAAGATGCGCGCACGATAGACTTTGCGGGTTCCGACGATGACCTTTCGCCGTACAAGGCGTGGTCCGGGCCGGTCGACCACAGGAGAGGTCAGCTCCTCCTCGCTGCCCATCTGCGTGAGGAGATTGAGATCTCCGAGCCGAACTGAGCGAAATCTGCTCGGCGTGGTCAGCTTTGCAATCGTGTAAGATCTGAACAGATCGCACCAGATGGCGGTCGCTCCAAGACGTTGAAGGTCCCACCGGCGATGGTGAAGTTGCTGCAGTGGTCAAACATTGCGCTCGATATGGGGGGGAAGGTGGGGGTGAAAAGACAAGGAACCTACAGGGCGGCGGTCCGCATTTGCTGTGCGTGAGAGTGGTAGAAGGACATCTTTGATAGCAAGAATGCAAGAAGAGGCAGCGCCCCGCGAGATCCATTCTGGACGGATCCAGAGCTGTGCGAAGGAAAACGATGCTGTGGCCTGTGGCTTCGTATGAACAGCAGATAAGGAATCGGAGCAGCTTGGCCAACAGAAACAGTGTAATGAAGCACCGAGTTTGATGAAATATCGCAAGTAGCTCTTC